AGGGGAACTGCAACAGTTCAGAAGCCGGAAGTGCCCAGAGAGTGGAACTTCTCTCCTAATTAGACATCCTCTGACATGATCTAAGTGCGTAGCGATTTTCATACATATCGGTGAAACATGTCGTTGGGGTGGCTCTTTAGGGGGCGCTGAAGAGCTATTTTGCTAAGTCCATGTGCGAGACCAATAGAATACCAAAATATTCATCACGACTGACGTGTGCTGCATTTCATGAGATTCAGAGCTTGCTGCAGCCTCCAAAAATGCGATTTACTTTGGTTAAAAATAATAATATTACAAGCAGTTTCAATAGGGCCTCGCAGCCATCGCTACTTGGGCCCTAAAAATATGTTAGTGATATGTTATGAAAATTAGTCTTCATACGTTTGTACATTTCAACATTACTGTATCTACCGATTAGCCAATTTGTGACTACCTTTTGTCAACAGCAGTGATTGAAATGCAGACAGTTGAGTTTTTAAGCATAAATGTTGATTTGTTGATTCCTGAACTTGGAAAAAGTAGTTTGACAAAATAATCTTAAATCAAGGTCCCAACGTGCTTCTTACAGAGCTTTTAATCACATTTGAACAGTTTAGTTTGCAGTCCTACTCAGTTTGACTGAGCGAATACCATTGACCGTTACCAATACCATTTCCATATCAGAGGACCATGAATTGAGATTATTAACCCCTTCAACTGAACTCCCTTGGTTCCTTAGCAATACTAAAAAAAAAAACATCTATGCGGTCCGTGTATGGATTAACCAGTAGTAGAAGAAGTACTCAGATCTTTTGCTCAAGTAAAATGCTAGTCTCTCTCATGCAGGACAAAGATTAGAATTTCTAAAATTGTATAGAAATGCAAAAAGCAAGGGGTCTTACCCAAAGTGTTGTTCAGATGACTAAAGACATCAAAAAGAGAGAAGGTTTCTGAAATCAATACACCCTCAGTGTTATTTTATACATGCATTTTCAAAACGCCTATTGGGCAGGGTTTAAAACAAAAAAATGAACTAAAACTAAATTGAGAACTTCTCATTGGTTACACACAGTATGCATGCATGGTGTCACAGAGTGTGCTCGCTTGGTTGGCACGCAGTTTCTGTTTCTTAGGCAGAAACAAAAGGAGCCAGGTGGAATTCTCTGAATCCTCAGTCGGCTGTCTTTCTTCGCCGTTTTGATTCAGGGGTGGTGACACAGCTGTGGCTCAGAGGTAGACTCGTCCACTAACCGAAGGTTGGCGGTTCGACCCCCGACTCCTCTCACTGCATGTCCAAGTGTCCTTGAGCAAGATACTAAACCCCAAATTGCTCCTGATGCTGTGCATCAGTGTATGAATGTGTGCGAATGGGGTGAGTGTGGCATGTAGTGTACAGCGTTGAGTGGTCGAAAGAATAGAAAGGCACTATATGAGTATAGTCCATTTACCATTTTACCATTACACTAATGTCTCCAGGTGGGAGCTGGTGGGGATGGTGGAACATATTCTCTAAGTACATCCTGCCTGTCCAGTGGAAGACATCAAACAATGCCTGTAGAGCAGAACTCGGACATGACCCCCTCATATTAAGAAAAAAAAAAGCAATTAAATTTTACAACCACCTGGACTTACCATCACAAAGCCCTAACCTGCAAAGAGCTGAAGCTTGAGAGGAGCCAAAGAGAGTAAAAACAGAGATTGTCACATTCCCATCTCTTGATCTCTTGTCAGGATACCTGGGGGGAGGCCTGTCTTTTTTTGTGTAAATAGGTATTGTTGTATAAGGGCAGATACAAACCAAATCAGGCGCTACGGCAAAAACGTCATTGAGATTAGGCTGTGCTGGTGGGGGTCGCAGGGGATGCCGAATAAAAACTCTGTGACCTGCAGTGGAAAACCTTAAACAGAATCAGCTTTAGGAGAAACACAACCTGATGTGACACTGAGGTAGCATATCTGGTGTCAGACCAGTCAAACTGTTTCTCAGATATCACTGAAACTGGCTGCTATCCAAGCACAGCTTGGGGAACGAATACTATAATACACTTCCAGTTTATCCAGTCTGCGCTTTCCTTTAATTCATGTATCTGCTGCTTTTTATGTCGTGACTGGCTTGCACGCTATGCTTTGGTTAATGGTTTGTTATTTAGCAAATGGACAAAAAAATGTTCCATAACAAAATGAAGGAAAAATAAACACCTTTTCACGGTCTTATCTTAAATAAAAGAAAGTGTTTTTTCCCTGACTGCATGCTGCATATATTTTGCTATAATCCAGTCTCTGTCAGTGGATTAGGACAACCTCTCCCTTGTAGACATAGCTATTGAGGTAAAGCCTATTGAGTTAAAGATCCTAGGCCCTTAAAAACGTAGGTGGCATTATTGGACAACCTCATAGCAATTGGGTCACCAAGGTTGGTCCTTATAGATTCCTTCCCACAGGTACCAAGCCGATTTCCCCCCTGTGTGTGGGGAAATTGCTTGGGTGCAATATGTTCTTGACATAGTCTTTCTTTTTGGGATGGATGTTTGTTTCCTTACAACCAGAGTTAGGGTAATATCCTTCAGTAGTTGGCATTTATATCCCCATTATACTTTTTCCAACTGTAACAAGGGAAATTAAATTAACCATAGCACACTGGAATGACTTTACTGTGATTTTATAGGGAATGAACAATGCATTTTGCTTGTTGCTTCCTCAGGTTAGCTCAGTCAGATGTTTATATTTCTCATGATATCTAGCAGTGATGTATGGGGTACTTTAAGTTCTTGTTACGGCCACCGCCTAGCCATTTCCTATCTCAATGTATCATATTCAGTCCCTCATGCCTAAAAACATTTCAACATACATTGCAATTGTTTAAAAAGCTGCCATGAACCATTGCAGTCCATATGTCTACAGGCTTTAAAGCAACTTTAGTTATCCAGGATACAATCCGCTAGTATTTGTGATTAGTCAGTCTTTGCTGACCGCGCTTATGACGATGATGAATCTTTGGTAACTCAAAGGTAAGTTAAGTGTATTATTACATTGTATCAGTGTATTTATCAATTGTTTTTTCTAGCGCATATGCTGAAAAAAAACCTTACTTTTAGTGCCAGCACAAACTAAATCTGAATTGAATAGTTCTGAATTTAAAATCTTATGGTTTGAAATTATTAGTATTATTTTCATTTCGGTGGAGTTCCAAATTCAGTTCAGATTTAGTTCACCCAATACAGAATGAGTCTCAGAAAAATTAGACATCCCACAGATAGAAACAAATGAAACAGCAGGGGGAGTTAGGAGATAATTAGAATAGCCCAGTTATAATGAGAATAAGTTTTCTTTCAAATCAAACATTTAAACATATGCGTGGATTGCACATAAATGTTCAATATTCGGGAATGTACATTTGGGACACGACCAGTGACTTCTTGTTCCAGCCATATACTATTTTTTCAAGATAGTCTTGTTCTCCTCTCTGCCATAGTCCCGCCTACTGTGTTCTTGGCATACACGCTTCATTTATCCTTTGTCACATGGCAGTCAAGCAAAACGAGGGAGGTTTTCTACAGTATATTCTGTTACAGCTAAATTCTGAGTTTCTCATTGTTTCTACAGTGAGTTCTGTGCATGCGTTACTGAGCATTGTGTGACAGTTCAGAACACAACCTCACCTTGCCCCTTCCTGAACCCCATCTATGCAGTCCATGTATGGATTAACCAGTTGTAGAAGAAGTACTCAGATCTTTTACTCAAGTAAATTAGCAATATCAGTTTGAAAATACTGTTACAAGTGAAACTTAAAAACCTTATTTAGAGGAGTAAAGTATAAAAGCATCAGCATCGAAAAACACTTAAAGTAGCAAAAGTATAAGTGCAGAATGGCCAATGTCAGAATAATATATGTTATACTACTGAATTATAATGATCAGAATCAGCTGGTGAAGTTGGGGCTCATTTCAATCACTTGCTGGGTAGCTTAATCTATAATAATACATCAAATCATTTGATCCTTATTTTATAGTCATCTGAATCTGCAGTAAGCTCTGGTAAGGGAAATTGCAATATTCAGGAATTTTCTGTGGTGTAAGGTGGAAGTTGGGCATGCTTGTCATTATAGTTAATTTATCTGATTATAGTGTTTTCGCAAGTATGGCATTGAGCAGTTGATGGCTGTTTTAATCTAGTTTTTAGAAAATGGCACGGTGACGTGTTTTTGCAGCTGTTTGGTAAAATATAATTTTGAAGTCTTTCCCTTGAGACCATGAATGTATATACAAAATTTTATGACAATCTAACTAATTATATTTTGATATATATTCTGTGAGTTTACTATGACACAAACATTTATGCATGCACAGACACATAAACAAACAAATACAAATGCATACATTTGAAAATGTTACTTTTTTATTTAGTAAAATCCTTGTATAGATTTATTTGGGTTAATAGTGTAGTTTAATCAGTGTTGTTGTGATAAGTCAGTTAAAATCATTTTGCTACTGCCTTTCAACATGTCTTTACAACATCAAAATAAGAGAAATCAGTCATCTGTCATATCCTTTTACATAGATAAGTAAAACAACATGTGCTTTGCTCTATTCTGTAAATTCAGATTTGGTCTCTGGAAGCTTGTGTATTAGCTTCAGCCTTAAAACATTATTTGTTAGAAAAAAAAAAAGAAAAAAAAAATATATATACATATATACATATAATGTCCTTCAACAGCATACAAAATGCTATAAAACCCAGTATTCGAGTTCTGGTCCAATGTTGTTGTGTGATGGTATTGTAGTGTTGAGATTCCACAATAATTTCCAAAGTCAAGTTTAACACATGTAAAGTTCAGTGCAACATTTTCCTTTGACAGGAAAAAGAGGGGCATCACTGGCAGTCACCGTACACCTTACAGCCAGAAAATCAGTTGTTGGAGGTAGTTCATTACTATCAACTTCATAACAGCCCCAATAACCCCAGATCAGAAATGTCACTGATCAGTGTTGTCGCTGCATTGCCTCTCCCCCGCCTCAAACATCCTCTTCAGTCTGTGATTGGACGGTTTTTGTGTCAGTCATTGAGGATGCTCCCGACTCCATCTGCAGCGCTGCCTCCACACTGTCTGTATACCTGAGGCCCTGCAGATCCGCTGCTAGTAGAACCTCCAGAACAGAGGGCTAAAGGTTGAAGGAAGAAAGAGACGAGTGTGTGAGAAGAAGAGACAAAAACAGAGGCTAGAACACATAGAGTGAGGGCTGAAGGTCGTACCTGCAATCTGGAAAAGACCAGTCGCACTTCACGTAGTTTGAACTGCCTCAGCAGGTCACTGAGCTCACTGATCACTGAGTAATCTATGATGCTGACATGGTGGCAATCCAGGACCACTGACCGTGGAGGAGACGCTGGGGAAGGACGTTAATTGGACAAATACAAGAGAGTGAAAAACTGAGAGGAGAGGGTAGGTGGTTAAACAAGACACATTACTGTCTCATGCAAATATCCTCTAAACAAAACCAAACAAATATTTACCCTGCAGAGCCTGAGTGTGTATGATGCTGCTGAGGTACTCTGTGGCAGGAAAGCTGAGTCCACTGCCCAACTCCATCACCAGCACACCGTGATCAGACACCTGCACACAACGGGCACATGTTGCACCATTAGATACAAGCCCCTTGGTTCTTTTGTTTCACTTAATTTTCCTCAAACTCAAAATTCTTTCTAAAAATGTCACACTCACTTACATACATAAGATAAAATAAAATGTACCTTTACTGATCCCCCGTAGGAGAAATTCAAATATACAGAATATTATCATACCTTTATCTGTGGTCTTGCCATGTTGTACAACAGCAAGGCTCCAGATACAGCTACACCTCCTACAATGCCGTACTGCACCTGCCAAAAACTCATCAGGAATGTCACAGTGAAAGGCAGCAGGTCCAGTTCTGTGAAAGACACCTGATGAGACCACACCTAAACAAATAAATACATGTGAACACACATTTAAGTATGAAAACTGAGCAGGCACCTACTGCGTATCCTCCAAATCTTAGTCACGACATGGTAATCCACCATGGGAGCTACCGCACAGATGACAACAGCAGCTAGAGAAGCTTTGGGGATGTAGTAGAAGGCTGGCATGAGGAACGCCAGGGAAAGCAACACTATCACACCTGCAAGAACACACAGAGAGAACGTGGAAATTTGAAGAAATTCCTCATTTCCAAACTAAGAAAATTTCTAAATCTCAATCACAACTCACACACTTAAAACAAAACACAGAGAGAGAATGCAAAGACAAGCAAGGGCTGACTGACACTCTCTGGTTGGTTGGTTGATTGTTTGATCGATATGCCCGTGATACTTTCATAAGGAGAAAAAAAATCTATCTATCTAATCTATAATTTTGGGGCACAGGACAGGCATATGCAGACCTGATGTATTTTATTTTTGAGTGATTGTTAGAAATAACATATTCAATACATACACAAACAAACACTGACCTGCAGCTTGTTTTGCATCCATAACACAGACAGAGAGCAGAGGAGAGAGAAAGACAGAGACAGCAAATCATCTGGTCGCTATGTTTTTATTGAGTCCCAACCTCATTGTTCTTTAGGAAAAATCCTGCATAATATGTCTTTAGGATTAATCTTATCTTTGTTGTCATTTCAAGGAACCGGAAGCAAAGAAACGAGAGGGAATGATCAGTAATAACACGGACAACCACAAGAGGGCAGAAGAGATGCAGTGAAAGTTGACAGTGTCAGGACTCACTGGTGACGATCCCTCCAGCTGGAGTGCAAACACCAGTCTGAGAGTTCACCGCTGTCCTGGGTGTGGAGAGAAAACATGACATTGTAAATATGTGACTAAGCTCTCTCTGTTGCTGCTCTCGCTCTCTCACACACAAACACAAACACACACCTCCCAAAGCTGCCAGTCACAGGGTAGGCTGACACAAAGGAACCCATGATGTTGGTCACACCTATCGCCAGCAGTTCTTGGTTGGCATCAATTCTGTAGTCGTTCTGGCTGGCTGAGGAGAAGCAGGAAGTTAAAACTAGAACAGTCTTATGAAACATTCCTTAGCTGCTTTGATTATCTGATTGTAATGTGACACAACCTTACATCAGCATGGGAACATACTCACCATGACAATGCTAACACGTTGCTGTTTAGCACTTATAATGTTTACCATGTTCACAATGTTAATTTAGCATGTTAGCACGTTAACATTTAGTAATTACAACAAAGCACAAAACACAAAAAACGTAGAGATGAGTTCATCAGTTTTACAAGTACACCAAAGCATTGGATAGATGTGGGCCTGATGACGGTGCTAGATTAGCAATTAATGGATCACCAAAGTATTGCAATTCATCCATAGGGGAACACGAATGTCTGAACCAAATTTTATAGAAATCAATCCAATAGGTGCAGAGATATTTCAGTTTGGACCAAAGTGATGGAACGACCAATCGAAAGATGGACTTTGCCACCCCTTACCAAAAGCTTTAGCAATAGCAATGCTCTCCAACAGACCCATGAAGGGAATCACAGCAAGCCCTCCTCCAAAGCCCTGTACAAAAGGAAAAAAAAAGACTAGTCATCTGCTCTTATGTAAACTGGAAACATTTTGAGAAGTGAAAGTTGCAACTCGATCATTTAGCAAAGAGATTTCCTGCCCTCACCCAGTGACTGGCCTCGTCTCTCTCCTCCTTACCTCTACAATCTCTCCAAAGGAGACAACGCTGCCGTTGGCTGTGGTGTCTGAGGTGGGTGGGGGTCTGAACGGTGGGAGCCCCTGGGAAGTTTTCCCAGTGATTGTAAACACATGGTGACCATAAGCATCCCAGGAAAATGCAACGAAGGAAGCAGCCACGACCACCAGAGCGTTACGCACTGACCAGTGAGGAATAAATAAAATGGAGAAAGAGGAAGGTTTTTAGAAAAGTGTGTCTAAAACATAATGCAGACACAAAAAATAAAATTACTATATCTGTACAACATCAATCACAAAAGATAAAGATATCCTGGATCACTGATATTGATTCATAGAAAGTGAAATAATAATAGAAATATAATTTTAGTATTTGGCTATTATTTTTTTCTTCCTTCTTTGTAACAGAAACATTGTCACTGATCTACATACATGTGACAAATACACACTCACAGACACAGAAACAACCACACAGGTACTAACTGGTAGCAACAGTCCACACTAGTTTCCTGGCGAGTCTGGAGTAGGTGGAGCAAGGAGTGTCGTCGGAGCCCAGATTCGTCTTCATATACAACAACATGACCAGCAGAGCGAGACATAGAAGGCCCAGTACCACATCACCTATCCTGGCTTCTGGGATCTTGTAGAAGGTGTAATAAACCTCCAGGAAGAACTCTTGGGGAATGCCCTGGAGTCCCAGAATATTCTAGAAACAGAAACAACACCCGCTGAACAAGAAGAGTTCTTTTTAGATAGAAACAGTAACTACAAAATAACATTGAACACCCAAATCGATCACGTCAGCAGCAACTCAGAGAGTAAATATCTGCTCTTTAGAGATTTGAACTGTAGAAGCAGCAATAGATAAAAACAGAATGGTTTGGGGAGAGCTATGTAACTTTTGCTGGACAGTGTATATTCTGGTCACAAGTGACAGTGACGGGACACAGATAAATGCTTAAAGAAAAGAGAAAAGCCATCATTCAGTAAACCATGACACAGAAATGCCTACCTAAAGTTAGCTAACATTAGCCACCATAAGCTGCTGGTCATGCCAGACCAAGTGAGGCTGTAACAGTATTATTAGTAGCAGTGGTAGTATTCCTTCTTTCAAATTCTAAATAGTCCCACTTTAAATACTACAAATAAAACCACCACTCAGCTGGCTCCCAGTTCAATATAGATCTCATCAAAGAACTGATCCTAAATCAGATAATTATATATGCACTCTCACCACCATATGAACCAGAGCTGGCTGTTCTGTAAACTGTAAACTAAAGAGAGAGAAAGAGCTTGACCAATACCAGATACTAATTCCATATCAATATATTGAGTTTTTTTAAAACACATAAATATCACTGAGCAAGACATTTTCCAGTTGATAAAGAAAATGGTTGAGCTCTGTGTCAGACAATAAAGACACTGTTTCTAAGTTACCTCAAACATTTGCCATTTTCTTTTTATTTTATGCCAATATCGGCCCATAATACTGTTCTGGTCAATCAATTGAAAAATTTCTACTCAAATGGTGAAATCCAGACTCGAGCTCGATACATGATTATTCCAGACTTTTAAAAAAATATTTTGGAGGCTTTTTGCCTTTAATTGATAAGACAGCTCAAGATAGACAGGAAAGGGGGAGAGAGAGAGAGTGGACGAAACACAGCAAAGGGCCACAGGTCGGACTCATACCCATGGCCTCTGCAGCAACGACTCTTTCTTTTGCTTGATTTATTGTGCATGTAATTCTGCTTAATTTAACCTCTTTTTATTTTTGAGAAAACTGTATAATATACCAACTTTTAAATGTGAAATAGGAGTCAATGTTGAGTAGTACCATAAGGTCATGAGTACAGGGACTGGGAACTAATGGGTTTTTAGATGTGCATGTCATTATTGTGGGTGTGACAAATGTGTGCATGTGTTTAACTCACCTTGACCTGGCCAAAGCCAATGGTTACCGCAGCAGCACAAGTGAAGCCCTTTATTACAGGGAAAGAGATGAAGTCCAGCAGGAAACCTGTACAAGGTGCAAAGTAATGAAGGACTTACATGACACAGACCTTGGACCAAAAATAAAAGCTGAGATCCACAGATTTTACAGAAAATGTGTGTGGTTAAACGGAGGAAGTCATAGTGGTAGGAAGTGGCTCTCTATTTCACAAACTAATATCCAGTTTCTTCACAGTCTCTGCAGCTCTGTTCCTTAACACTCTGTAATTTTGTTATATCAGGTTTTGATACCACACTACCATGAAAACAATGTGTCACATTGTGAATAAAAACTGTTTTTGCTAAAAATGCCTTTTGTAAGTTTATCCACAACCACCAACCATCACGAGTGTTAAATTAAGAAAACCACCAAAACTGCTGTCACAAGGTTTTCATATGACCTTAGCTGCCCCCCTTCTCACCTAATCTCAGTAATGCCATTACAGCCTGGATGAGTCCACAGAGGAGGCTGAGCAGCACAGCCCGGTGTGGCTGCCCCCCCACCAGGGAGAAACACAGGAGGGACATGATGGCCGTGGGACCCAGCGTCACATCCTTAGAGGTCCCCAAGAGGGCGTAGATGAAGCCCCCCATGAAGGCAGAGTAGAGTCCGTACTGCGGAGAGAGACGCTTTTATATTAAATGATGAATAGAGTTGCATCTAATGATATTTTGTATTACTGATTTAAGTCCTTCCTCCACTCAAAAATGTGTTTTTCTTCTTGTTTCTTCGTTTCACTGTGCAGAATAATGTGTGCGTTTAACACATGTATGTTTGTTAAACGTACGATGTACATTATGGTTCAATACTTGAAACCACCTAGACCATCCTAGACATCTTGTGTCTAATAGTAAAACCGTAAATGAAAACTATTAGCATACCGTATTCACAGATTATTACCCAGGACCCAGATTTTGGAAAATAATAAAAATAAAAATCATCTTCCAATGTCTTTTTCAATCTCGTTTTGTGTAACCAACAGCTCAAAACCCAAAGATACTGAATTTGCAATGATATCAAACAAAATAAAAACAAGTAGGAGCTCACATTTGAGGAGCTGGAACTATATGTTTTGCTTGAAATGTGACGATTGATTATCAGAATAGTTGTTAATCATTTTGTCAATCAACCAATTGTTTCAGTTGTAATGATAAATAAATCAAGATGATGATCTTAAAGTAAGGGCAAAAGAATCCGCAGAAACAGAATAATACAGGATGTTATTAATTGGCTACATCATGATTTCAACATTTGAGAAGAAATGGCAAACAATATGTTGAGAATGCTCCATTAACAGAATACTAGTTTGTTGAAAGTAATGGGGATGCAAATAAAGAATGATTTTAACAACTTGATGATTAAAAACTACCCAACTGAGATATCTGGAGAGAGGTGAATCCAAAAGATGAACATTCACAGACAACTCAGCCAGGATTCACCTGCACGGGAAGGCCGGCCACTTCAGCATAAGCCAGCGCCTGCGGTACAGTCGTGAGCCCGACGGTGAGGCCTGCGAGCAGGTCCATCTGAAGCCACTTCAGCTTGTACCTGGGCAGCCAGGAGAGGATGGGCAGCCAGGCCTTCAGGGTGCTGTAGGAGCAGCAGGCCCGGCTGACAGCTGATACTCGTCCCAGAAGAGGCCGGTCCATCGCTCAAGGGGAAGAGAGACCCTGTAGAGGATGGAGCGGAAAGGATGAGGAGACAGCAGCAAGTGCACAGAGATAAAATTGTGTTTTACATATTCAAATGTGTGCATGAGCAGGCAGAAAAAAAAGCCACTTACACAAAGCGATTACGTTTATTCCTCTGCTTTAAATGTCACTCATTGACCTTTGGGAGGTGCTGTCTGTTTCGTCCTGTTTTTCCTCTTTCCCTGCACGGGAAACACAACCAACAAGTGCTCTGTGTGCATGTGTCAGTTTGTCTGCGTGCTTTATTGGACAAATGCACAGCACATCAAAGAAAGTGGACGCCATGTCTCCAGATGAACGCTGTGATCTGTGTGTAATGGAAAAGAACAACAACAAAACATCACAAATGAACTAACTTCGAAGATTTCATGATGATAACCACTTTGTTAAGTATTTTAATACCTGAGGACAGATATCCAGTTTGTATTTCTGTGAGCTTCACCTTAACAAGCTTTGAAGTCTTTATAATCATATGATCAATCATATGACAGGTCAGTGCTTTGCATACCTGTCCTTGACCAGTGATTGTTTTACAACAGGCAGACCTTTTTTTTCCATAATTGCCTAGAATCCATAAAACTCCCTTACCAACCAAACTCTACAGTTTTATGTGAGTTACCAGCAGCTTTTTATGTATCTCCCATTGTGTCCTATAATGTGTTTATAGGTGTGTTATGTATAAGGGACCATTCTTCTAAGATTGATTGTACAATAACATGCTGCACTGACACAGTGGAAGAACATGAATAATCTAAATAGTTGTGTCAAATAGAATATAAGAGAATAAAAACACAACAGAAAACAACTCAATAGACAATAGAATAAAATATATAAACAACATAATATAATAGAGCAGCAAAAACCAGACAGCAGAACAGAATAGAAACGCTTACTGTTCCCATTATCCACCGGATCAGCTGAGATTTTATGTCCCTTTCTGTCAAAACGCAGCTGAACATTTCTCTGAAACCACTTCCTAAAATGTGTCATTTCGCTGATGAAGCGCGAGACAGCGGTTCCTGTCACATGACCTCCGTCATGTGATCACGAGTGGGCGGGGCTTAAGTTGTTTGAGGAAGTCGTTAAAACATCCTGTCGTTTATAGAAGACAGTGTGGCTCTCTCAAAGCTCTACTAGTGCTTTTATTAAGTCACTAAGTGTGTGTGTTGTTTGTTTTATTCATTGAATGTAAATGTTTTGACTCACAGGAAATGTTTGAAAGCCGAAGCAGCTGAGATGTTTGTGTGAAGAGAGCTAATCATCATCATCATCATGCTGCTTGTGTTGGTTTCTCTCATCTTTGCATCATGTCAGTTTGGGGAGACAAAGACAAGAAATGTCCTTTTAATAATTGGTAAGTTGACTTTTACATTTCTATGAAGACTCCACTCAGTAAACACCTAGCTAAAACTAATGCAGGCTTATACAACAGTGCTGCTTTGTATGTGATTGCATTATACAGAGAGGTGTCTGTATCTGTATTTAATCCACCCTCAATGATATCATTTGACAAAATAACAGAAACATCTCTCTGAATAATGAAATACAGTCCAACAGCAGCACAAACTACACCCTCCACAGTTAACAAACAACAAAAACATTATAACCTTCAATGAAAGTAGGATTTACAGCATCGACGGTTGTTTAAGACAGCAATTATTTATCTGGCTAAACCTAATAACACTGGCCCAAAATCTTTATTTATATGTTTATGCTGTAATGTTATATGCCGTATGTATATAGTCATGCCTATAAAACACAATTAATTTTAAAAATAGGCAACATTCCTTTATTATGTGAGATATTAACTCATCGCTCAATATAGCCGGAGATATTAAAGGGATCGCTAACAAAGTAAACAGTATGTTTCATCATATCTCCCAACCCTTCTATCTAATACACATCCCAGTTGTTTGCTGGTAACAGTTTGTTTACTGTTCTGCTTTGTATGTAGTATAAGAGCCAATAAACGTATCTTTTCCCTCTTCCAGCTGATGATGCAGGTTTTGAGACGGAGGTGTATAACAATTCTGTGGTCCACACACCCCACCTGCGCTCTCTGGCCCAGCGTAGCCTGGTGTTCAGCAACGCCTTCACCTCTGTCAGCAGCTGCTCCCCCAGCCGCTCCACCATCCTCACCGGCCTGCCACAGGTAAAACACACAGTCTCACTCACACACACAGTATTTAGGTCCGTTTGATCTGTGTTTTCAGCACCAGAATGGCATGTACGGTCTTCACCAGGGTGTTCACCACTTCAACTCATTTGATGGCGTGCAAAGTTTGCCGCTGCTGCTCAGCCAAGCCAACGTACACACAGGTAAATAACAACGAGGCTGCCAAGACCGCCATGCACACACACTTTTTTTTTAATTTTAAGTTATTTTTTTGGCCTTTGTTTATCTGCCTTTATTGTACTACCCTTTATATGATAGTGACAGCTGAAGACAGACAGGAAAGGGGGGCAGAGAGAGGGGATGACACGCAGCAAAGGGTCGCAGGTCAGATTCGAACCCGGGGCGCTGCAGCAACTCCGTACATGGGTCGCCAGCTCTACCGACTCAGCTAACCGGGCACCCACACACACACTTTTTAATCACAATTTCTCCCCCTATCTCTTTTTTACTCTTCACTCCTACAGGTATAATTGGGAAGAAGCATGTCGGACCTGGAACTGTATACCCTTTTGATTTTGCCTACACAGAGGAGAACAACTCTGTCCTTCAGGTGGGGAGGAACATCACCCGCATCAAACTCTTGGTCCGCAAGTTTTTCCAGACCCATAAAAAGAAAGAAGAAAGAGAGAGGCCCTTTTTCCTTTATGTTGCCTTCCATGACACCCACCGTTGTGGACACTCGCAGCCTCAGTATGGAGCGTTCTGTGAGAAGTTTGGGAATGGTGAAATGGGGATGGGTAGAATACCTGACTGGACACCAGAATATTACACACCAGAACAAGTGAAGGTCAGTGATATGGAGATTTTGTGTTTACAAATATATGAAGAAATCTGTTATTGGAAAAGGGATTATTAGCCATAAAACATATAGATTAATTGGTGTAAATCTTGCAACATTTATTTTATAGAAAAACTATTTTAAAAATATTTTCACATATTTCTTGTATGATAACATCTTTTTCTACAGCTGTTTTTGTGGTCACTCATTATGTACCACCAGGTATTTCAGACATAGCGACCTCCTTATCCTCTCTCAGCTACAAATACGCCATTATTATTTCATATAAGTATTTCAACCTTGATTATTGTAATGAAATGCATCTAAAAGACACACAGACTCAAAAGTTTGATCCATGAATCAAATCACAGAGCTCCTAGCACGTGTTCATCTGGTCTGTCCTCATCCCGTACACTTCAGGTTCCTCCTTTTGTGCCGGACACACCTACAGCACGAGCTGACTTGGCTGCACAGTACACCACGGTGAGCAGACTGGACCAAGGTATGCACACAACCTACACATGCACAGAAAAAGAGGGTGGAGAGAAGCCACTCGTGTGAAATACTAAGCAGTAATGGTGTAAATGTCCTCTGCAGGTATTGGTTTGGTGCTTCAGGAGCTCAGAGACGCTGGTTATGAGAACGACACTCTGGTCATCTACAGCTCAGATAACGGCATCCCCTTCCCTAACGGCAGAACCAACCTTTATCGCTCGGGGACAGCAGAGCCTATGCTGGTGTCCTCTCCTGAACACAGGGAGCGATGGGGAGACACCAGCCCGGCCTACGTTAGCTTGCTGGGTAAGAGATGGATGAAGTGGACAAATTCATAGTGTGTTTTTTTAATTAGACCCTAGAGTCTAGCAGCTACTTGCTTGTGAGCTATGTCCATAGTTATACCAGTGGCTCCCAACTTTTTTTTTGGCTTGTGGCTCCTTAAAATTAAGCAATGAAGCATAGGTTATTGATTTTTCTCATTCGCAGATTTTTCTGGGTTGAAAAGTATTTTAGAAAAAAAGAAAAAGTCAGAAATAATAAACATAATTTTGTGTTTGTGTTCATCTTGGGACCCCTCGGCTTACACAAAAAAAAAAAAAAAACGAACAGGAGAGTCAATGTGTTTGTCTGATGGGCTCAATCGGCCACAAGAGGGAGACTTAACCATGATGCATCAGCAGCACATCTTAGGACAAAAAAAGATTAACTGAAAACGATCCCCTAATGGTGTGATAACTAAATGTAAAAATAAATAACATCAATTAAACATTAACATAAATATTTGTCACTTTACTATGAAATCCATGTATTTCCATAATAGGAATGTTTCATGAACTAAGAGAAACAGTTTTCAGCTTTGTGTTGATGCATTTTTCAGATTCTCCTATGTTTTTTTTTTTAAATAGTTTAATTAATCTTTAAAATTAGGACAATTTTGTATTCCCATGAAGGAACACTTTGATCCCTAAAAATTGGATATGTGGTTTTCATTGGACAGTGAAATGTAAATATAAAGATGTCCCTCTGTTTATAAAATAATAGAAATGTATTTATGAGTTCATGTGCAGTATTAATGTAGTATTACTATAATTATGAATATTAATATTACATTTAAATATCAGGCTTTACCTCAGATGAGCTGCTAGTTTCTCTTATTTTCTCATTGTCTTTTCCTTAATTTTCTCTTCTTCTCAATCTCTTTTGTCGGCAGACATCACTCCCACCATTCTTGACTGGTTCTCTGTTCCGTACCCGTCCTACACCCTCCCTGGAAGCCCTGCCGCCCCAGTCCACCTCACCGGTCGCTCCTTACTGCCTGCTCTGGTCACTGAGCCCAGCAGCTGGCACACTGTCTATGCCAGCCAGTCCCTCCACGAGGTCTGTGCTTGTAACGCTGCTTTGAGACTTTCAGAAACAGACTTTCATGAAGGAATTAAACACAAGACCTTGACTGCTGTACTGTTGTTTTGGTTTCAGGTAACCATGTACTACCCAACCCGCTCTGTCCACCAGGGGGCGTACCACCTTCTCCACAACCTACACTATCGCATGCCCTTCCCCATCGACCAGGACCTGTATGTGTCACCCACCTTCCAGGACCTGCTGAACCGCACCAGGCTGAGTGAGCCCACACACTGGTTCAAAAGCCTGGAGCAGTACTACTACAGAGAGCGCTGGGAGCTGTACGACTCCAGGTCTGTTTCAGCTGCTGACGTTCATGTTGTAACAGTGCTCATCATGTTTTCAGAAAGTTCAGGTACAAACGATACAATAATATGTGTTAGACAAAACAGGTCAGTCCAGCAATAACAGCCCTTGTCATATAAAGATGAAATAGGATACAAAGAAAGTTAAAACAAAAATGGAATAAGATAAATAAAATGTATAAATATATGAAAATGAGGGTTGTGTATAAAAGTGTGTACAGAAGTATTGCACTAACATGTTCACACACATCAATATCAGTCAGTTGAATGGGTGTCTGGTGAAAGCCCTAAGCGAGGTCCTCTGATTTAAACTCCTGCCACCGTTCACAGTGCAGTCATTTTGTGAAAAAAATACAATAAAAAATGGTTAGAAACTACGGCCATAAAGGAGAGAAAATGCACTAAAACAGAATCAAATTTTACTATTGTGGAGAACTTCATTTGTGTGCTCTGCCTCAAAAACAGCCTGCATCGTTTGTGCGTCCCAAACACAGAGTCAGGCACTGCAGAGACGCTTTCCTTTAGTGCTGAAATGATTAGTCAATTAGTTGATCCACAGACAATGAATAAAAAAAAAAAGTCCGTCATTAACAAGCAAATATTCTCTGAGTTTTGACAATTGTTAAGACAAAAGAAGTCCTTTGAAGACGTCATCTTGGACTTTGAGTTGATATTGGTTCAATCACAGACTAAATGACACATTTTTTTTTAAAAGAGTCATATTAATATTCATTTATAATGGAAATAATCATTAGTTGCAGCCGGGTTTCCTTTTTGCTGAACTGTGATCTAATGCAATAAAGAGCACAAACATGTTCTCAAGAACTGAGCGCTAACAGTCAGCTTTATAATCAGGGACGCTTGCTCACACTTTTTCTTTTGTTTTGTTTTTTAAAATAAAAATACTAACAAAATAATAACAAGGTATTTGAACTGATTTCAGATATTATGTTTAAATCTATATTAAAATCTAAATATATTAGCTTTGAAAAGACTTTTGTCTTTTGAATGGAACCTGATTTTCAACACATTTGGGTAGATTTCTTTATATTTCATGTTTTGAGGTCTTGCTTTGGGTGTTGCATGGTGAGTATGTTTTAGATGGATTCTACTTTAAGATGAATTTATCATTTAGTAGTTATTCATGGGTTATTTATGGGAATTAAAACAGTAAAGTTTTATTTTACTGTCAGTAGTTTCCTAATCATTGTCTGCAAGATTTCCAGGAAATAAATGTGTAATCTGATACTCATTATAGGGAACATGGAGCCCTCTGTATTGATACAATCTTGGCTTCAGTCTGTTCTCTGATGTTTAAATCTGAACAAATGCTTCACCAACACAGGGCAGACCCGCTGGAAACGAAGAACCTGGTATCAGACCCATCCTACAGCTCCGTGCTGGAGAGCCTGAGGCAGAGTCTGCAGAAGTGGCAGTGGGAGACGGGAGACCCTTGGGTCTGTGGACCTGACTACGTCCTGGAAGACAAACTAGAGCCGCACTGCAGACCGCTCTACAATGGACTCTGATTGACTCTAATGGTACTTTTACTCATCTTGATTGACATGATGTCCGCATACATGAACACATTCTTATGAAATAAATAACATTTATTTTTGTATGTCAGTGCTGCTTTTAGGGCTCAAAAATAAAAAAAAACTCAAATTGCTTTAATTCCTATCATTGTTTTCTGTATTGTATCGTTCGTCTTTATGTTACCAGATAATTTCATCATTCACGTCAGTGGTCCTTCTTATCTGTTTCTATACATTTAAGGTACATTTTCCCATCATCCAGACGCCCTCATAACCCTGTTTCACAGAGAGGCAACATGGTTACACACTGACTGTTTTTGTTAATTGAACAAATGTAGAATGTTTCCATCTTCGTTTTAGTCTGCCTCACTGATCTGCTGATTACACTGCCGGTAGAGTTCATGACGCTTGATTGGTGAGGTCGGCAAATCAATCAGAAAAAGGGTTTTATTGATTCCTCAGAGCTCTACTTTAAAGTGAGACTGGTTCATCAGTCCATGTAGAAAGCTGCTTGAACAATTTGGATCAGTCGATTATTCACTCATGTTTATTGATCATTTTATTTTCTTTTTACACCTCATCTGTCCCTTTTTTACTTACACTGAAGTCTTTTGAACTGATTCTGCTCTCTTGTGGTTGAGCACTGACCCGTTTAATGCCTTTTATGCATTTCATGTGTGGTTTAAGACAAATTGCATCCAAATCTCTTCATCTCATGAACTGACTGTTGTGGTGGAAGTGGACCAGACTGCCTGTACATTTGAGATGTTTTCAGACATTGAGGAAATTTAAAATCTCACAATTAGTGAAACATAAAAGCACCTCCTCATTACCTAATAAGCTATCCGGACATCTTTAAGTTTGGACCACGTCAGTGTTCACTGATGTTAATCCATTTTAGTTTTACCTCTACACGTCAGAGAAGGGCTGACGTCCCTAAACATCTCCACCCCCCTCACACACCACACACACACACACACACACACAGGGTCATCATCCGCCCACCTCAATTTTGATTTGACGAACGTCCTGGGTCACGATAGCGTCGCCTAGCCAGCCTATATAAGCAGCAGAAAGTTTTACAAACACCCAGCAAAACATAAAGTCGGCCTCTGACCAAGAACAGACCACCAAAGCGCCGTTTTCCTCCGCGTAAAAAGTGCCAAGCCGGTTCCAGACATGGAGAGGTCAGTCAGGTTCGCCGTGGTGTGTGTCGCAGTGTCTCTGCTCATCTCCTGCCATCCAGTGGAAGCCTGGTACAAGCAGTCGACCGGGCCCAGTTACTACTCGGTGGGTCGTGCCTCCGGTTTGCTGTCCGGTATCAGGAGGTCACCGTACGTCCGGAGGTCCGAGTCCGAAGAGACGCTGATGGACAGCGGGGAGACCGCAGGTAACAACGTGATCCCAGAGACCAACAGGCAGATCTCCATCCTTAAAAGTATGGTGAGTACATTTAAGATGCTACAAACTTTATTCCTGTTTGAGGGGGGTTTGGTTTGGGCTATCTTGATGATGCATTGTTCAGAAGAGACGCGCGTAAAATAGTTTTCCTTCCATCTCCATAAGAGCCTCATTTATAGCGCTGATGACCACTGACACGTATAAACCTTTGAATGAGAGCTTTCACAGCGCCTTTGTGAAAAAAATGGAGATTAAAATTGCCGAAAAAGTTGAAGAACTGTACATAAAGGCGCAAACTAGTGAGCGCGGCAGGTCAAAGCGCAGCAGCATTAAAAAATGATGACAAATTGGACATTTTCTGAATTTTGAATAACTACCTACGGAAATAAATGAAAATATAGGGATTGTTTAAGTTCCATTTCGAATAACCTGCTGTTATTACTTATCCTAATTATTTGGCTACTCGTTTTGGAGATAAAACTCATAAATTAAAACCGTATGAGGTCAGTTTTGGTCATAGTTATTATTAAATGATCTAATCCCCTCATTTATT